AACCCTAAACCTAACCCTAAATTTAACCCTAAACCTAAACCTAAACCTAACCCTAACCCTAAACTTAATGCTAAACCTAACCCTAAACCTAACCCTAAAACAAACCCCTAAACCTAATCCTAACCCTTACCTTAATTGAAGTCGGCGTTCTGCTGCGGCGCCGTTTTAAAGTGCCCTTCTGTTGCCACGCTGTTGTCGTGGTGGTGATGACGCGCGGTGATGACGTCGCGGCTTTAGCGCCGCGATTTTATCACCGCGATTTTGACTAGCGCGGTTTTGTCGTTCCACGGAATAATAGAGAATGTGGCAGGCCAAAGATCCAAAAGAAAAGATGACTGCAGGCCTGACACTAACAGCACCATTGAAATTTCAGGCCTTCTGCTAGCAGCGGGAACCTAGTTGGGACTTCTGATTTAAAAAAACAGTCTTTTTTTTGTTTGTTCTCCAAAACAGCATTATCGATGGCACAAACCAGGATGGCTTTATTCAAAGAGCCATCAATGCTTCCAACGCCTATGCCAGCATCATTGAGGCGGTGAAGAATGCGGAGGAGGCAGCCAGCAAAGCCATCCATGCTGCTGATGAAGCTTTGAAGGTAGGGAATGTTTGTCGTCCAATCTCTATTGGAAAGAGGGCTGTCGCCAGCTCACCTGCCAAGACCTGGCAGTCAATCTCCCTCTATTATCCAGGGTAGTCATTTTGCTGTTCTAGTGAGACAGCTGAGGTTTTCACAGAGGACTGCTTCCTCCTTAGATGAGTTATAGACACCTTGGCAGATAAATGGTTAGAGTCGCACAGCTTATTCAAAGGAAAGCAATCTGACAAAGAAGAATTGACAGTTTTGGCTTGAAGACACAGGAGAGGTTGCCAATCAGCGTGTCCATGTAAATGTTATCTCCCCGGTCTGGTGAATTGCACATCTCTCTTCCAATTGTACCGACTTAGATCACTTAAAGATAATTCAGTTCAGCATTAGCAAAATTGGGAAGAATATTTGGAAGAAAGATATCCTGTCAAGGATGGAGACCCAGCTCTTGTTGATTATGGATTAGGGAAGCATACAGTTGTCCCAAAGGTGCTTTTTCAGGAGACATCTGGACTTTCTTGTTTTTTTTCTTTGAAGTCGTTTCCGCTTCTCATCCAAGAAGCTTCTTCAGCTCTGACTGGGTGGTGAGGAATGGAAGGATTTATATTCCTTGACAGACAGCTGGTCATTTGCATCCTTTTAGAGGGTCGTTGAGGCCACTTGGAGGCTTACCTGTGTCCTCAGGATCTATAGACTTTTAGCTATGCAATTTGGGATGAACACCCTTCAAATGGTGTGGGAGTATGAACAGAGGAAAAAATTGCAGACTACAGGAAACATTAGCGCCACTCAGGTGACCCTGAGGACCCAGGCAAACCTCCAAGTGGCCTCAACAACTCCCTAAAAGAATGCAAATGTCCAGCTGTCTGCAAGGAATATAAATCCTTCCATTCCCCACCATCCAGTCAGAGCTGAAGAAGCTTCTTGGATGAGAAGCGAAACATCTTCAAAGAAAAACCAAGAAAAGTCCAGTTGCCTCCTGAAAAAGCACCTTTGAAAACAATTATTCTCCCTGGCTGAAACTGCCATGATCTACCCAAGTTGTCCAAGGTGGGAGGAATGTTGTTGTTGTTATAGTTCTTGGTGTCAGTTTTTGCTCCCGTGACCACAAGGACAG